CACACACACACACACACACACACACAGTCATTGCAGCATGAGTACAGAAAATGCAAACAAAGACATCATTGTAAATACAGAGGTGGGTCACACGAGAGTTTGAAAGATGGGTTTACCTTGAGGTGGTTGTTGTTGGCTACAAGTTCATCTGTGTACCCAGGCAATGATATTGGGTCTGATGGGGAAATGAAAGCCGGGTGCTGCGGGCTTGTAGTCAGTGAATGAACAGGGTCTTCGTGCGTGGATGTGTCCTAAAGTAAGAACACAACACAGAGCCATTTCAACTGTGGCCTAAACATTAATAACACAAGCTTCCTCAGTCTCAGTTTTAGTGGCTGGGAATCTCTGAAGTAGTATGGACGCCACAGCTGAAGTGATGCTTTTTAAAAGAGATGAATTAATGTATGTGGCCTGACTGTCCCCCATTTCTTCCCACCTTCCCAGTCATTCTAATTTCCCCACACCCATCTGCTTATTATGTATATATTATGAACCAGCCTATTATACTGAATACTAAATAGTGTCTGTATTTCTAAATGCTTTTCTCGTCTTGATGGCCGCTCACTGTACAGTGCAGCTTTGCCATTCACCCTTTCACACAGTGCATAGCTGTGCAGCACTTTCTCTTTCTAATGTGATGGTGGCTCTCGTGGAGTTGTAGCTCTAGTCTGTTTCCACTTACCTGTTTTTGGACTTTGCCCTTTGTCTGCTCCACTTTTTGCCTATTAACGCTGTTATGGTGACCCTGTCGGTTCTCCCCACCTCCTGTCTGCCGATTTCACCCCCAACCTTAGCCCTTACCTGACTATGTCTGCTTGTCTTATTATGAACTGTTCTTTAGAACCATGTGGAAGATGACATTTTGTCACTGGGGAGGGAGCCTGACAGAATCAGCTGAGCCCCAGTCTTCAGATGTTCAACATTCTTTCCGACTTTTTTTCTTCATTCTGCTGTTAAGGTTTCCATGGCCTCTTAAAAGTGACCCCAAAAGACTTGGCAGGATAATAAGGTTCTACACTGCCCAGCAGGAACCCTCCCACATCAACATAAATACTGAAACCTAAAAAAAACCTCTCATATGGAGGCCCTGTGGCTGCTGAGGAGCAATGAAAACACTTCATGCTGGGTTCAGCACTAACACCTCTGATGACATATCCCCACGACACATATACAGCATGTGCTATTCATTCTCACTGAATCATCTCATCTTCTTAAAAGCTCACTGCACCTCGCCAGATATCTATTCTGGAAATAGTATTTGACCACTTTTAAGATTTTACTGGACCTGTAAAATGACATCATATTTTCCTTACTTTCCATGACTTGTTTTTTGTCCCTGAATGTGTCAGATTCCTTCAATGCCCCAAGTCTTTTCAAGACTTCCTGAAATTCCACAATGTAGAACAATATAAATCTGACTGAATTGTCCTCTTACATTGGTCTTTTTTTGTTCACTGAATTAAAATTATTTAAATTACATTATGTGTTTCCACTTCTGAAAAGGCTGCGCGTGTGTGTGTATGTGTGTGTGTGTGTGTGTGAATCATTCAGTGGATTTCACACCCAATAACTCTTGATACTGATTACCAGCAGGCCGAAGCTGTATGTGCAGAGATGTTTGTATTCACTGATGAACTGTCATTGTAGAGAGTATTTATCTTAGCCAACACCTCAACAACAACATGCTAAGTGTGCTGTGTTTACTATTGAATCCATTTCATGTGTGAACTCCCATTACCTCACTGTAGGGTTTCATTTGAACACTCCTCACTGCCTCCTCATCCATCCAAGCACTGCCACTTAGAAAGTGTCCGTTAAAGGGTGCCAGCTTGTCTGGGCTCGGAAAGCTGCAGCCTCTGGAGAGAAAACACACAGAGACAGCTGAAAAACCGGGAAGCTCCAAAAGTCTCGACCACAAAACCTCGCAACATGTCACATTCAGGTACACAGCAGGAGTAACACTTTAGATTGAGGCACACTTTCACCATTGACGTGCTGCCTTTTAACATACATATGAGGAGCATGTTGGCTCTTTATTAGTCATTATAAAGCCTATTTATGTTGTATCCTGCGAGACTTCATTCTCTAACGACTGGGTCATTAACTAAGAACAGAAAACCTGTGTGTGTTTAAGTGCCAAAAGCCTAATGAATTAGGTCATAGAGACCTCACTTTATGATGAGGAACATAATGTAATTAAGTAACATAATGGACTTAATGTGATGTTTTATATATATATAGTACAAATGCTGTATTAGAAATGAAAAGCCCTCAACACATGTGGACTTCTCTGTAACTCAAATTCTACTTTGTTGGCCCTGCTTTTCACTGCCTTTGATTTTCTATTTTTGCCTTTCTGGCCCATAAACACAAGGCTGCTCTCATAGCTAACCACAGCTATAGATGCATACCCAATAAATAAAATGTATATCTAAGTGTAGTTGCATTCACAAAAGTACAGGAAGATGTACCGTTGCTGAATAATATCATGCATTAGAAGAGCATTTCATGCACATTACTGCTTGTGCTCAGATTTTTGGTGAACAGTGATGCTGATCCAGAACCAACGCAGCTGATTTAGATTATAACACTTGTCCTTCAAATGTTCTTTGGCAAAACATTAGAGACTGGAGAAGCTGCAGAAGCCAACAGCTGGAATAGCATCTTTCCTCACATCAGGATTAATTTGAAATGATGATAAAGTCATCAAACTCTGTATACCCAGATATATGGTGACTGGCAAGTGTTGATGGCTCGGATCTTGTTCCTTAAATTCAGCTGACTTTTCAGGACTTGCCTCACTCTGTGTAGGTAGGGTAGGGCAAGATGGTTGGCTAGGAACTTTATACCCAGCAACAGCAAGTTGTA